CTATCCTTCTTAGCTGTAGTTACTGTTTGTCCTCCTATATCATCCTTACCAGTTCATATTCTTCCATGCAACTACACAGGTCGTTAAGTAGGTTGCTTGCTGTTTCCCGCCGCCACTCTCGCCGTCAGTGTCTTGTGTGTCTCAAATTCTTCAAGTCCTCTTTTCTTATTATGTGTCCCTGTTACATTAACAATCATTTTCTGAATTTAAGTACGAGCATACTTTTTGTTTGCATTTTCCTGAAAACTTCTTCGTTGGTCACGTGCTCGATTCATGGTATTCTCAGTATCCTTCTGTAGAACTACACCACTATTACCACAAGTTTCTTCTTCATCTGCGAGAAAATTATCCAAAATTCGAAGAGTTATATTTCATAATTATCTAGAACGTGATTTTAGTGCTTCTTATAACTTTGTTTTACTTTTATCATTACAATACGTCTTATGGCGAGAATTAATAAAAATAAATTTCTCTCAAAATGCAGTTACATGCGTTATCTTAAGGAAAATACGGAATCATCTTATAAAATCTGGGTGGAAAAATACGGATGAAAAAGAAATATCAGTACGAGTGATGATGAACTTATAAAAGTTCATACGAATACTTATGCATAGAACACACTGTGATAAATAGATAGATTACATTGTCAGTGATAACCTTCTGTACTTTATTCAGACGTCCCTAAATTGTAGTAGGCATCTTCGATGGCCCCTATTTCTAATGACCATAATTTCTGTCTTCTTACAACTTATGACTGATGCTTGTTTCTGTCTTTTCTTTCCTAACATTTCTAGGTGGTACTGCAGTTTTCTTTCTCTGTCCGCGATCAATATGATGTCATCTGCGTGTAACTATTTTCTGCCCAGAAAAAATAAATCCTGATGGAACTTCTAATTCTCTGAAGACCGGTTAGTTTTATAGATTACTGTTATGGAACCTTACCCATAATAACATAATGGACTATTCTATACGTAATAAATACTGCGCCTCAAGAAGAAGCAGGGAGTTCAGCCTGAAGTCGGGCGGCCGGCTGATCGGTTGAACTCTCTGCCCTCGGGCGGGGAGGAACCCGAACGAGGCTACGCCGAAAGGTGGAGTCTCTCTCGGGGAGGTAAACCGACCCTGAACCCGTTTATACGGGTTCAAACGGCATATTTTTGGCCGAGTCCACGGGCTCGGAGATCCCACGTTAAACCGACCTTGTGCCAGGAAGACGGTATTTGTGACGGAACGGTATTTAGTCACCCACCCCTCGTGGGGTGGGTGACTAAATACCGTTCCGTCTGAAAAAGTTCCGTCAAGAGTTCAGTCTGAAGTCTGGAGAGAAGTCCGTCAGGAGTCTGTCAGTCAGTCAGTGCGAGTCAGTCAGTTGAGTCAGAGACAGTCCGAAATGACGGTTCCGTATAGGATGCAGGTTCGAATCCTGTCAAAGGACGAATATTTTCTATGAAAATTTCTCGGACATTCAGGCCAGTAAATGTTATTTAATACTATTTATTATAAACAGAGCGTTTACTTAAATACTTGTATCTATAAAAAGAACGTTAAACATAAAAATGTACTTAATAAATATTTTCTTTTGCTTGTTTGTTTTACGGCATATCGACACATTGGGTCATTTAATGCCGAAATGTAATACGTTTTTTTTTATATATATAAATAAAGTCTTATATTTAAAGTCATTTCTTTAAATAGTGAAACTGCTGTTAGCTACGTTTACATATATATATATATATATATATATATATATATATATATATATATCGGGTTTAATAGCAAAATTGTACAAATCGTTTAACAGCATGGGATAATTGTTTCACCCCACAAAATTGTTTAATACTTAAAAATCTACAAAACTAATTGACTTTCTGTTTTACACGTTTTTAGGTAAGAATTACTGACAAATCCTTTTTAGTTATTCAGCTAGAAAGAGAACAGGTTAAAATCGTTTTCTGTCAAACCAACTATATTTCCCAACTGGGCAATGGTGAGAGAAAAAAGATCATTCAAGCCTCCAGTAATGATACCAACATTCATACTCTGGCTTTCATCTTCAATGTCCATTCAAGAACCGTCAACAAAACGGTGAATAAGCTTAAAAAATAGAGAACTGTAGAAAGGAAAACTGAATCAGGAGGTCACAACAAGAAGAGGGGTCATCATTTCAACTTAGAGCTAAAGAGATCAGTTAGAAAAGATCCAACTCAATCCATAAGACGTCTGGCATGCGAGAGCAGAGTTTCAGCTTTAGCAGGGAAAGAAGGCTTGGAAATGAAATTCTACTTGAAACCTGTTAGGTAACTTGTAACTCCAAGACAGAAAGTTAGAAGGTTAGAGGGTGGAGATCATTTTGAATAAGAAGTTGGAAAATGATCCTGGAATTATATATATATATATATATACATGAAATTTATTTTAATCTTTCATGACTTTCCGATCCTCAGCTATGAATAATTAATGATGAACATATTTTAGTTTATCATCAATTTCATCACGATACTTCTTTTCAGCTTGGAAAGTAATTATACATTCTTATTGCTTAAAGTAGAGTCCCTTAGTGTTATAAAAACCTCGGAGAATTTCAGTAAGATATCTTTACTCATTTCTAAGATACAACAGTTCAGAGCTTAATCTAACAATTTAGACAATTTTACTGTCACACTATTTGGACAATTTTCCTGTTACAGTCGCTATGTTATTTTAATTATATTTTGAAATCAGTTTAGTTGTTATTTTTAGTACAAATTTGTACTGTTTATAATTTTACTATATAAAAAATTTCTGGTGGGATTTTTACCATAAAAGTGCATTTTTATACTTTCATAGTGTTTTGTTTTGGGGTCCACTATTTTCCCATAGCTGGGAACTTGACAGGTCGTAAAACCCCGGGCCAGGAAAAGACATAGGAACAATTCCTCAAAACCTCCGATCTCACGATCAAAGACGTTGCTGCCGGATGTATCTTATCGTCATACCCAGGACTAGGTTATATAATTGATTGGACATTTCAGTAAAGGACATTGACACGCGTGACTTATTTAGTGAATCGCACGTTGTAGAAAAATTGTTATCATTGTTTATTAATTACTTCGGAATTAAGACTGACTCATTTCTTTCAACCGTAGAAAAAGTAAACTGATAACTGATTCAAAATCGTTACTTGAACATTTTATAAACAATAGTGTAACGTGTTACTTTGCTTCCAAGCACATTATGTCGACAAAAGCGTCACTTCAGTATAGTGTAATTGCTAGCAAGCTAATCTCGCTAGATCATTTACGAATGAATAGTGTGTTCGATCCTTACTAGGAACCTCATGCTTTTGGCATTGTTCCACATCTAAACTGTACTTACAAAATCACAATTATACCAATATATCCTCCTTTTTTTCCGCAAACCGGTATTAAATGGGTTTCTTCTTTGGAGACTCATGTAAAAGTTACTTTTAATGAGATACATTTTCAATGTGTAATTTAATTCTGGTTATTACTGAAAATCAATCTTAAAAACTTACAATTGCATTACGGTTTGTATTGTTAACAAGGGTGGGCACGTGAAAAGTAGCGTGTCATATAACGTATATTCATGTGTAGGAATATGATGTGTGTCTGTGAAAAAAACAGGGGGGTAATGAGCTCTAATCTGAGTATTTCCAAGATGGCTTCCTACACGCACACACACTGGCAAACAAACGCATCTGTTTGTTTATATAATATATTAAGTCCGAAAGGAAGTCATTTTTTTCTTAAGACGTAATTCTTTCATATTTAATTATGAATTACATTTCAATCAAAATAATGACTTTCTTCATTTTTGATGACATAATCCTATAAAATGGAATTATTAATATATCGGGTATAAAATCCTTTGGGATTCGAGATAAAAAAAATAGTTTTATATCATTTTTAACTTCTTTTCAAATCACGTATTTTTCCCTATGCACTAAATGCTGTAAAATCTGAAATTGTCATAACAGGACAGAGTATGATCAGAAAAGGGACGGCGTACGTGCCCTAAAAATGTTCATATTTAAAGCCAGTGTTTTCTCTCTGTGCGTTTTATAACTGTCTTGTATTGATAGTTAAGCATTGAGCATTGAATATCACAAGAAAAAATGAATTTGGGCATCCAGCCGAGGACACTATATCAGATAAGTGATTATTTCAGCACTTCATGATAGACAATAACCTTCACATCCCACCAAACACAGAACATTACATACTGTAATTGTAAGTCTCGTTTTGGTACAGGTAGAGTTATTTCCTTGGCTTGTACCTATTGGATAGTATATGGAATAGGATTATGTAGAACCTACGAGTGACGGTCTTTTCCGGAAATGATTCATTAGCGTGTCTTGTCCTTAATAATGAACTGATATTGATTCTGGTTAAGTCGAGGACCTGTCCAATTTGACATTTTATCGAGTTAATGGTTCTAGGTGGTTTATGACTGTTATATTGGTTGTCTTAAACTTTTGAGTTATTTCTGGCAGCGTCATCTTGGAATTTTTATGAGTTACACGTAATACAGTTTGATTATCGATTGAAGTTATCGTCTAAAACAGCTGCAACCTGGGGGTTTGATTTTCCGACCGCAAATGAGTAAACAATCGCAACTAGTTACTCACGCTTAAGATTTGTTTACATAAACAATGGAAATATTGTTAACCACAGATAAACAGTATAGACACTTTTGTGCACATAAAGCATGCAGCGTCTCGAATCTTATCATTTCATACAAAATACCGATATATGTATTGATCATGCAATATTCAAAACGGTATTTATAAATCGCTACATGGTATCAAGCAAAGATAGTCTTCAATCTGATCATAAAGATAATACCTGTGGTAAGGTTTCTTATCCAAAGTTAGTCATGTAAGACATGATGACGATAAGCAATCCCAAGTTTCCAGACATTTTTATACTGGGAAGCCGCTTTCAAACTAAGACGCTGTACCATTAACCTACAAGTTGTTACTGTAGAAAAACAAGTCTCAATTACACAGCTTAAGAAAGATATTTCATTTATTATTATTCTCGATCTGTAAACTGATACAAAATAATTTATTTATGAAAAAGTGGATTCTATTAAAACACTTGTAACCAATAAACATAACGCTATATCTTTGTTAAGGTAATTGAATACACAAGCCTGTAAAATTCACATCACTAAAAAATAACATATATATATATATATATATATATATATATATATATATATATATATATATATGGGAACGTTAGTTAATCTAACATGTTTCACATTTTTTAAGGCCTCGTCACAGATTGAGAGAAAACAGACAAAAGGAATAACTATTTTCAATTTACTTTGAATCGATTTTCATTGGTCAGTCATATATACGCAGATAATTCTATATGTATGTCAGTTTGTAAAAATTCTAATATGCCAAAGCGGGGATCCTATGAGACAAGACGCACATACACAATAACGAATACACATTACCATCTTATGTCGGCTTAGATATCAATGTTTTTTTTACTGACAAGCATGCGCCTCACAAGCAAGAAAGGTGGTTTTTGCTTTAAAGCAACACCTCGTCGTTCAGAATTTGCTCGAAATATCTGTTCAGTACCCGGAACATAAAGAAAACAATTTGTAAAGAGTTAATATATACATATATATATATATATATATATATATATGAGATGATGAAACAAAAATGAAAAAACTGTAAGCGATGCGCTTCGCCGAACCTATGTTGGTTTCGGCTTCTTCAGCTCAGGATGAAAAACATAAACTGTGTGTAAGGAAGATGCGTTGTGATCTTTCAAGATAAGAGCGGAAATAAATTACCTTATCAGATCCAACCATGAAGTTTTTGTTTGTGTTATATATATATATATATATATATATATATATGTGTGTGTGTGTGTGTGTGTGTGTGTGCGCGCGTGTGTGTGCGTGTGTGTGTGAATCTGTGTGTATGTGTGTGTGTGTGTGCGCGCGCGTGTGTGAATGTGTGTGTGTGTGTGTGCGTATGTATGTGTGTGTGTACACGCACATGTGTGAATGTGTATGTGCGCGCACGCGCGCGTGTGTGAATGTGTGTGTGTGTTTGCGCGTGTGTGTGAATGTGTGTGTGTGCGCGCGCGTGTGTTTAAATGAGTGTGTGTGTGTTTGTGAATGAGTGTGTGTGTGTGTGTGTGTGTGTGCGTGCCTACGCGTGTGTGTTACAGCCATGAGCATGTGTTGTTTTTTAATCAGCCCACTTAAACCAGAAAGTTTTTTTTTATCAGTATCATATATATATATATATATATATATATATATATATATATATATTTGTTTCAGTTAATATTAAAGATGCTGCACACAAAAACATATATATATATATATATATATATATATATATATATATATATATATATATATATATATATATATATATCTGTATGTATGTACTTTGCGTTTTTTTGTAGTGTACATATGTATGCATGTATATATCTATATGTATGTATGTATGTATGTGTAAGCTTTTTTGTAGTGATGTGGAAGATCATCGACCGTATAGATTTCCAAACAACTTTGAAATAATACCTTGCGACAAATCAATCGGAAATATACATATAAATTACAACTTTCAAAGCTTTCAAAGCTAGCAGACATTAAAGATTAATTTTATATCTCGGTGCAAAGCTGTATTGTTTGCCACACTTTGATTCTTCGCGTTTTCTTTACATTTTGACGCATGTCTACAACGTGTGATAAGCCAAGATATTTACTATATAAATTGTATTTTTTTACAATAATCGTGTATATTTACAATGCGGATAGGAATGATTATTCCGAGAACTAATGTTACCTATTCCCTATTTCAGGTATCATCCAACCCATCAATCATGTATAATTCGAGATTGAGATGTGAAAACACTAGAACACAAACCATTTAATCATGACCATATATATATATATATATATATATATATATATATATATATATATATATATATATATAATTGTAAGTGTTGATACGCTTGAATGTAAGTGAATTGTGAGGGGAGCCAATGGTACTGTTGTTATTCTAATTTCGTTTAACTCCATAAGATTTAAAAGTAAAAAATGAAACGAAGTAGATTTCTATCTTAGGAATAACATTAATCCCATCCTTTATAATTCTTTATCCATCAATACAATGGCGTCACTAATCGCTGTCTCTTTCTCGTCTCTCGCGCCATATGCACGTTTATTTATTTGCTGATATATTCTGATAATAGTTATTCACGACGATAACAACTTTATCCCCTCGTTCCACTCAGTACTCAATAACGATGTGGCGTATATTAAACGTTCGCTAAACATTATCATTTTCTCCTATTTTCCCCTGTTTTTCTCACCTTCGTCATCAGCATCTACAAATGAGGTCTTTTTTTTCAGAAGAAATATACTTGGTCAATTATAAAAGCTGAAACACTAGCCAGGAAGCAAGTTTATTGCCTTTATGCGATTTACCTATCTACTTATCTATCGATCGCTTGATTCCCCATCATTATCATTACATATATATATATATATATATATATATATATATATATATATATATATTATAAAATGGACAATTATTTTAAGACATTTTTATGTTTATACATTCTTTTTATAGAGACAAATATTTAAGTAAATATTCTGTTTTATAATAAACAGTATTAATAACATTTACCGGCCTAAATGTCCGAGAAATTTTCATAGAAAAATAATCGTCCTCCGACAGAAATCGAACCTGTATCCTATACGGAACTGTCACATAGCCTGACGTGCCTTAATCGATCGAGCCACGCAGAATTGTTCGATTAGCAGGTCGATTTTACTGATTTTAAACTTCAATCTTCCATGAATCTCTCACGTACATTCATATCTGCTCAAAGCGTATCCAAATGTAGACAAATGACGTCGCACATTATGAAATGGACAAAGTCCGAGAATTATTTTAAGGCATTTTTATGTTTATAAATTCTTTTTATAGATACAGATATTTAATTAAATGATCTGTTTTATAACAGAAGAGAAAGTGTGAGTTTATAAATAGTGGCTAGTACTGCTACTGATGCAAGACTCTTCGATAAAACGAATCGAGTTCTCTCAGTCACTGGCGTGTTTATCTAATGAAAAATATGTTTAAATTCACCTTCATCCCTCCATTACGCCAAAGGGTTAGTTGTAGATTCTCCGACTCACGCCAATTCAGCCAGATTTTGATCCTAGCTAGAGGCAACCGGACGTCTAGCCACACTCATGAGCTGTGATACAGTGAAACAGTCTGTTTGTTGCCGTTTGAGGTTGGCTGTAGAGGCTTTTCTGTTGCTTCCTTAAAGTGATTCCTCAAGTTCGCTGTTATCCAACAGTCGAATAAAGCGATAAAGACCTGTGGCGAGAAAGCAGTGGAAGGCAGTGCGTAGACTATCCGGAAATTTGTATCGAGTCGCGTCCAGCAAACAACACAGACCGTTTGCAATGTAACATCATTCAGCTGTTGCGGGCCCACCGTATGGTGAAGTACTGAGCTTAATAAGCCGAAACTTTTTTGAAGCACGGCGATCAGCTGAAGTTTGCAGCTGGTCTGGAGCACTCGATGTGTACATCTGTTTTCATATATATATATATATATATATATATACATATATATATATATATATATATGGATACGTCTGCTTTTTTCCATTTTTTTCTCTTTTTACCTTTTACTTTATTTCCTTTCCTCACTATTCCTACATATCACTTCCGTTTTTTTTAACCATATAAATAGGTCAAGTTTAGCTCACTCCTCCTACCCCAATATAAAGCTGATTTAAGAGAGATGTAAATTTAACCCTCCCTATACTTTGTATTGTCTCAATTTTCGTCTCATTTCATTGTTGGAAGTGTTACCTGATGATCCGAAATCCTTTAAAAAGGATTTTGGTGAAATAAATTATTGTAATGATACCTTAAAGTGGTCTGTTTTTCATTAAATTCATATATATATATATATATATATATATATATATATATATATGTGTGTGTGTGTGTGTGTGTCGGTTAGGTTGTGTGCCGCAAGACTTAAACGTTCTGGGCGGATTCCACCAATGACGTTTAAGCATGATTCTTGGTATCCACTGCATATCCCACAAGCCAGACATTGTGGTCCTAGAAAATAACAATGCAGTCAACATCGAAGTACACATAGATTTCATTTGGAGAGTCATTCGCCCTGCCGACAACATCATACCCAATTAAATGTTGCTCTATGATACTTGACCCGAGTATTAACACACGTAGCGCCTCAAGGACTATTTAAAAAAATAAATCCTTTGAAGTCGGTCATATAAAAGTACTTGACTTGATGCTGTTTGTCAACGAAATAAATGGAGGCGTACAATTTATGTCGAAATAAGACGTTGGCGTACAAATCAAATTTTCCAAGAACATGCAATGAGTTGGGAAAATGTCAAGCGTACATGACAGACCCAGTTAGCAATATCGTAGACGTTTGGCAAATTACGAGCATTACTATCCTGGGGATAAATTAAAACAGCAGAAAGTGCTCCGGTGAAACCACTCATGTGAAAACCGACGAGCAAACTGAACAGACTTTACAAAACAGGTCAGGTAGAAAATAACAAAAACAGCTTAGTTTGCTATCTCAGCAATAAGAATCGTAAGTCCATTGCAGACTTCAACATCTGTTCATCTCACGAAAACAAAAAAAAAACATTGATTAAATTTGTCAGTGATGGTCATACTCGGTTAATGAATCGATAGTCATTATATATCTTTACAAATGTATGTATGCGGTTATAATGTACAAAAATAAACAAAAGCATGCAGGCGCACACACACGAAAATCATACACACACACAGAAGTAGACACACACACATATGTGTGTGCATATATATATATATATATATATATATATATATATATATATATATATATATATATATAAAATGCAAACATCAGTCGTGATGATTGCGTTTAGCATAAAACAATCTGTCGTCTCTGAGTGTTGACCTCAATGTTCACATTTATATTTACATACGCTCTATCTCCGATATTGAGTACTTTGTCCCATAAGTGAAGCATACCTTAAAACTATATATATATATATATATATATATATATATATATATATATATATATAGCGTACAGCGAATGATGATGGTAATAAAACTAGTATATAGTTTGCTATAATAGATATATAATATAAATTTTATCCTCATCCGTTAGCACAACTATAATGTAACATGCAATCTTCAGGTGCAAGTTGAAAAAATTGCTTTCAAACTGCACCCGATGTTTGCATCGTGCATGAAACTCAGAGTTGTGCTAACTTTGAGAGAAATTACGCACACACACACACATACATACATACATACATATATATATATATATATATATATATATATATATATATATATATACTTACCTATGCAATAACACATAATTATGTGAGCAATCTTTAATTCTATTTATCTATTAAACTATATTTATCAGACCAATAATCTGTCTTAAAATTTACGATTATGAAGTAAAAAATAAATAAAAGGATAAGAGTGGGGAAGTACAGAAATCACAATAGTTTCATCTTCCCTTGATTTCTCCATTTTTTTTTTTACTTCTTCCACTGTGTATTCTATTTATTCTGCTGTTCGCTACGTTCTCCCAAAGTCTTGATAACACCGTATATGCGTTGCCAAAGGGCCAGTTATCTTCGCGCGAAATCCTTCTGACATGCGCAGTGATGACAATGATTTGATACTATCAAGCGTCTCATCTCACCATCCAACATCTTACTAATCAGCTCATCAAATACAACACTTGCTGTTGGCCAAATCTTGTATTGGCGTCATGTGTGTGTTGGGAGTGTTGAACATGATGTGCGTATTTCGGCCTCATATGGGCGAGTGAGTGTCTGCCCGATACTTCCGGATAGATATAAAAAGAAAAAAAAAAAGAAGCAGAGCCGTTATATTGTTTTGAATTCATTTTTCTTTCGAATGCGTAATTGGTGTGCACAGCGATCAGTGTCTATTAGATAATATATACTTTTACTATGGCAGAAAGAGATAAACAGAAAGAAACGTGGTGGGGGGGAGCAGCTGTTTGTTATCAAAAGAGAGTAGAGGATGAGATGATAGCGGGAATGAACGAATTATGTAAGATACATGTTTGTTGGTAATCCAAACACACACATACACGCGTACATTTATGCTGGCTGACAGCGGTCTGCTCAATCACATGTATGTCTGCTGTGTAAAGCAATTTGTTCTTAAACAAGCGGGAAAACAGTGTGTTAACATTAATAATAAACAGCTATAAAGGACATTAAAATAATCTGCAAACTCGTACAAAATAAATATCAAATTGCGCAAATGCTAAAGTAATAAAAAAAATATGCAAACAAAGCGATGAAAAATCGTTTAGTAAAAAGAGTGTTATCTGATTTTAAGAAAAAAAATCTACCTAAGAGCAAAGTTTTGGAATGGTCACTCTACCTCCCCTACACACACAGAGACTCACATAGACACACATACACACACATATATATATATGTATATATTATATCTTATTATAAATGTTCATTTAAGTAAGTACACGTATTTGAGTTTCTATCCCTTCCCTTTTTTATTTTCTTAAATATTGAAATGAAGAAATAATACAAGTGAACCACGAAAATTAAAGTTTGCCATAATAATACTTAATATTGGCCCATTCAAATAACTATATATATATATATATATATATATATATATATATATATATATATATATATATAGATATATATATATATATATATATAAAGAGAGAGAGAGAGTGTGAGAAACAGAGACAGAGACAGAGAGAGACAGAGAGAGACAGAGACAGAGAGACATTAGGCATGTTAAAATTTAAGGAGTAAAAATACAACAAAATGATAATATTGCCAATAAAACTGATGATATTATATATATATATATATATATATATATTTTTAGTTTGACGTAAGTTTGTGACCCTGGGTTTCACACTTTTGCGATCGTCAGACAAACTGATTAATTTCTTAAAATTTTGGGTTTATGTAGATTGCGCAAAAGCGTGAAACACAGGGTCACAAACTCACATCAATCCAACCAAATATGTTAGCTCTATCTCTAATATTGAGCGCTTTCTAATAAGTACCGCGCATATAATATATAAATAATTATATATATATATATATATATATATATATATATTTATTTTTATTTATATATATACACTTTTCATATATATATATATATATATATATATATATATATATATATATATATATATATATATATAAAAAGAAAGAACAGTAAGATATAAAATCCGGTGTTCTTATAGATATTTTATTTTTACAAAATAGTGCTCAATGTAAATTTACAGAGCATTAATATTATAAATTAATTGATTTAAAATATGTTTTTTCGCTACACAGTTCCAACCATGTTTCAAAATAGAAGCTAAAAACCCCGAATTTAATGGAACTAATGCTTTTAATTTA